GTACCCCACTAACTGAATAACAACAAAATATACGAATTTTAATATTAATAGGAAAACGTCATAAATTAAGTATTGGAGACGTATCTTAAGTATATTTTGGTAGTTACTGATAGAATACTCTACCGAACTTATTTTATCTCGGTAACAAGAGACAAAAACATTGATCAAAAAATTACATCCGAACGCGAAAACACGTCTATGCCTGTAACTTCACTCTCATCGGTGCGAATTTCGCGAAACTTCGGTGTGTATAGTTGGTACCTCGACTCATGCACACATATAAAAACAAGACTGTCTTTGTTTCGTTCAAGTTTTATTTTGACTGTATGATGTGCCCCGCGTACGAAGGGTAACGTCTTCCCCTCTTTTTATTTTTTTTGAGTCAGCAGTCAAATCAAAAAGAGGTATTGTTTTTGTTATCACTAGAATTGTTCTCTACACTTACATAATACATTCGGAAACATACATAACATAATATTTTAGCATTCTAGTTGCCTTTTAAATATAAAACACAATACTTATATATTATTGTCATATGCGTATGTTACACTTTCCAAGGTACTACCGCAGAAAATCAAACCGCATGAGAGCTGCAGACTGAACTACCAAGCTCTTCCTGCCTCAATATATAGTTTTAGAATAAATAACATTTACAAAGAACGAGCTACGTTTCGTACCGTAGTTTTAAACTACACAAATATTTATAGAGTTTAAAACCAGCATGACGGAAATCTACGACCACGGTTATCTTGGAAAGCAATTTCGTCGGCATTACCGGTTCTTGCAGAATATCCCCTAACCTGCGTGGGAGGATTGCATAATATATACGCCGTAATTATTCTTATGTTTTGACAGCTATTTTTAAAATTCAGTTTATTCGCTAACATACTTCTACAGTGGTTATCACGTTTATACACTTGATATGAACACTAGTGTGATTAGTCGAGATTAGTATTGAGTCTATTCAGTTCAAAACGATATAGAAAACTATTTTTTTATATATTTTAAACTATTAATAATAATAACAATATAGAATTATGTCATTTATATCGGCTTATGAAAAATAACTAATTTTGTCTTATGTTGATGGATGAGAAGTCAGTCCACGTTCATTTCTCGTAGCGTTTTAGTAGCCATTAAAGTATATTCACCATACATTGCATTTTGAAATAATAACATATAATAACTATTCATACATTACGGCAAGATCATAATCAGTTTAAAAACATTTGAACTTAATTTAATCGCGTAAATCACATTTACATAAAACAGTATCCATTTTTCATGATTTGGAATAAATAATGTTGAATGTTTTTATAAACACATATTAATCTAATAAGAATGTTGTAAGTTACTTTTTTAATGTGATATTTATGATTTGTCCCAGATGGTGACCAGGACAAAGAAAATCTTCGTAGGAGGGCTTTCAGCACCCACAACGCTGGAGGATGTCAAGAATTATTTTGAACAGTTTGGGCCGGTAAGTGCTTTTGAATTTTTTATACGAAACTTTCTTCATAATTCAACCATAGAACGAGGGAAAATCAATAACGATAAACACATAAATGTATTACGTTACCTTCCTAAAGGGTCATAGGGATATTTCTGTATCGTCATTAATTTTTAACGCAAATAGTACCTAACAACTATAATTGTTTTGCTGCGTATCCAGAACAAGAACTTTTAGGAACTAAACCACAGGACAGCTTCAGCTTAACTAACCTTATAATTAATTAATTAATGATTTAAAGTTTTAGTCTCTTACGTAATATTAAATTATTACAGATGGAATCGATTTGAAATTACTTGAAATAAAATCCGTTGTACTACATTCGCAGTTGGACATACAGACTTGTTAATATTTTATATAGCTGATTTGTAGCCCCGGTGCTACGAGCTTCTACGAAACTTCTACGCGTCTTCAATTAATATCCTTAATATAAAATGTAGTCCGACATATTAAATATTGTCGAGTTACAATTTTATTCAATATTAAATATCCAATTAACCAATCAAGAAAGTTATTACATAGTTGCACAACATGCAACTAGACACAGCCGGTGTATAATCAAAGTTTTCAATGAGGAACAATTGCTTTACGATCGATATTAAATAGAATTCGTTTAAGTTCAAATCTATCTCTAATAGGGTTTAAAGAAAACTCATCTCTATCCTTTAAAGTTAAAGCTTATTTTGGCCTGGCCCCGCGTACGCGACTGTAAGTCTGCGATAACTGAAGTCATTGTCTGGCAGCCGCGTTTCAGAGCAGGTGTCTATCTACAAAAGTTTTCCGTAATTAGCCCAGTATCTAGCATGGACTGAGGAACTTTTCAGAATTGAACATTGGCTAAAGGCGGCAGTCATTGTACCAGCTCAAAGTAATCGGCTGAAGCCAGCCACCCGCGACGATCAAAACCTTCATTACCTATTATGAGAGTTTAGAATAAAGCGAACCAGTTTTTCGGAGTGAATGTGATTGATGCGGAGCGAAGGAAATATCCCGGGAGAGATAAAAGGAATTTAATGAAGAGTCTTTAAGAATAATGATTAAGGGAATGGTTATTCCTTTTGGTCGGCAGCCTAATGATGGGGTCCTTTGAATTACTTTTGTGTGTCTGCGTAATACAAGCAAAATAACGCTAATTATGTGACCAAGGTCTTTGTTGAATTATTGTAATAAATGCTAAGAGACATTACAACAATTTGCGGATTTCTAATTAACTTAACGTAAAGTTTCAATGAATAATAAACCAAGACACAATTTAAATGACTTATCGGAGCGAGATCCTGTTAAATTGAGACGATAATCCGTTAGATGGAAACTATCAAAACGTGTAATATCATATCTAGTTTAGCGTAATTTTCTGTTGAGATAAATAAATTAATACCATTATTGGATATACGAAGAACGCACAGCGGGAATTTTGATTACGAATTAATTCAATTTAAACCGTACACTGCTCTCGGCTCGGCATCATTTCGTAAGGGTGTCACATTTTGAGCAAGTTTAATTAACAATCTAGTTGCTTTTGGAGGTACCTTCATTAGTGTATTTGTGGGTAAACATTACGCAAACTCTGGCAGGTACGCGAGTGCGTAGTTGTGATAGCATTCGGAAATGTTCTCGCAAGTTTAGCGTCACGTTTGTCGTATTCAGAATCGCCATTGTGGGCGTACGGTACGGTGTGGTCGTGACTTCGATGCATCGATACCGTCGCCTCACGCCACGTGCGAGCTTTCTGAATGCAAACTGTCTCTGAATATCAAATGAGCCACTTAAATACTAAGCACAATGAAACGCCCACCTGGAGCAAAGGCTGCGGAACGCGTGCACGCAACGCCGCCGTAAATGAAAGGCTGTCGGGTCGGGGCCGATGGGTGGGTGAAGCTCAACCCCGGTAACGATTTCCTTCAGATAATGGAGAATTTTCTGACGAAAGCTGCTCGACAGTGCCCTTTCCAGGATTTAGGTAGCGTTGGATTTATAACCGAAAAGGTTAAAGCAAATTTTATGGCAACAAAACGTTCCTAACCGCTTGAATGAACTTGCACGTGATAAATTGGGTACGGGAAAGGGTGCAAATATTTAGCTATAAATTAGTGCAAATGTTTCTTTCTCTTCTTTAAATAATTATGATAAAACGCGTTTTTACATTTAAAACGCTTTCTTATTTAATGAGTCAAAACAGTATTCTTTTTCTAAAGAAAGAAATACTATCACAGGGTTCCATGGAACTAATAAAAAGTTTCGACTTAAAGATAAATTATTATTTAAATCATACTTGGAATAGATGACATCGTGTACAATATTAATATGCAAATCGTAGTCAAATTTAGTTGAAAAGCAAAAGCCACCAGGCGGCATCGAGATGCCGACTTAAAATTAATTAGCCGAACGACCGGTGTAATCTCTGAAGCCTACAATGATTAAAGGAATGTTGTTTTCGAATGTAGATTTTATTCAGCGAAGCGTGGGTATAGTTTAGAGTATACGTCTATGTCACTTATGACCTTTTCTAGTCCCGAAACTCGCACACTGTCGATGTTGCCCCATCGACAGAACGCACACCACCACAATTTCGTATCGGATTCTTTTTGCTCTCTCGTGGAAATGTATTCCGTCTTTATCTGTCTATCTGGCTCGCTAAACCGATCTTATATTTAATGATAAGCGGACAACTTTATTCGCAGGAATTTCGACTGAGAAGTTTAAGTTAAATATCTTCCCGCGAATATTATTTTTAGATTCACAAACGAGCGGAAAATAACTGTATCTTTTATTCGCCACAATTTTTCATTTTAACCCAGTATCATGTTTGTTAAGTGCTTAACTGTATTGATAGCTGAAGTCTCGTTATATTTATAATTGAATAGCGAAATAATTATCTGTTGTAAACTTTGTACCTTCTTGTTTCATTCTGGATGTATTAAAGTCGTGGTTTTCGCAAGGATCAAGTTTGGTAAGCAATATAAAGTTGGAGAACGGGTGTTCGGTTACCCTCGCACGCACTGGTGTCTTTGGCAAACTTCCTCTGATACGCTATTGTTCCCGGACCAGTACACGCTAAGACTAACCGTTGTGATCGCTGCCGACTTATATGCAAGTCATGGCTTGCCCTCCTCTAAACTTGTTCAATTGTTTGTATTAAATTATCAGCAAAGCGCAGTTGACTTCCGAATAATCTGTCTGATGCTTAGACTTTAATATATTATACTACATGCTCAATACTAATACTATTACGGCAAATAGCATTACGTAGAAATATATAGAAAATATGTAATACAAAAAAAGGTTGAGTTATTTCGGTAAATGGACACTATAAATGTCGATCAAACCGTTGACTCTCGATATCTCGTAAACTCTTAAGCGTTTACATTACTAACTAAACATCGTTTACTGTCAGCGGCACTCCAACTGTAACTGAAGCGGGTCCGGAATTCGGCTTAACTATAGGTACGATATCATCGCAAGTCGTATATCAATCAGTTGTTACAACGCTCTACGATTGTCGTTTATCTTCGGGGCCACTCGGATCTATCTGTCCAGATTCGTGCATTGTTTCGACATTAGCTAGGGTTGCCGAATCAGTGGATGTTCGAAATACCAGTGCGGTAGTTGCGTTCCCGCTGCAACAGCGTGGCGCATCGCCCGATAGCGTTTCCAATTTCCTGACATAAATTGCTCTAATTTGGTTATGCGCTGACGGGTGATCGAAGGCTGCTAAAGCTCCGGCCACTAGCGACATTCGGTTGCGGCTTGTCATTTTTGTTCGATTTTCACGTACCGTTTGCATGTTCATGTTTTATTTCTTACAGTTTCACGTGGCATAACAGGAAATGGAATTTTTTACCTTTGACCACGGCCGCTTTACCTAACGTGCGTTTTGTGACTCGCAGCCGTTGCTTAAATTTTAACTACAAATTCTTTAGAAACGTTGGCTAACTGAAAACGTGTTCGTGCAATATTCATCGACTCGTTTATATTAGTTTAGGTCTTTGAAAATGTTTTCTCCCTCTAAAGTGAGGAAGTGAATTCATTTGTATCTTTATGAACTTTATGAACGTTAAAATTTCTTTGAATGAAATTTACATTAGTTTCAAAATGCCCGGTTTAAATAATATAATAATCATAACAAAGTCAAAGTAACCGAGCTAATACTAAAGTTACAATGAAAAGTAAATATTTTAACTAAAAGCTTTCCAGGAAACATACTCCGAATACAACTTTATAAAATTACCTAAATATTTTTCTAGGATTGAGCGGTTCGTTCTTTGTTTACTCCCGAACGGAGCGAGCAACTTTAAAGTACCGATATATTACCCTAATGGCAAACTAATTACACTCCAGAGCCTTTTTTCGTTTTTAAGGACCACATAACAGCTACTCAAGAAGCCCGAACAAAGCAAAACTTAAATAACTCCTGTTTATACTTTTACTGTTATGTCTCTGTATAACATAGTTGATTCTCACGTTTTCTCTATTGGGATAAACAGTTATGTTATTCAAGTGAATATTCACATTCATTAATAGCGAACGAAAGGAGAAAGTAATCAAACATTCTATCACATTAGCAGATTATAAAAGCTATGGAATTGCATTATAAAAACATTCCAATATTAAACAAACTAAATCTTAATCAATATATTCAATAAAAATATGATAATCTATAAAAAGGGTATGAAAAAATCTAGCTGCTCTTCTATCGAATCGGAAGGAATAAGGAATTCTCATTGAAGTGTAAATTCAGAGCTTATTGTTTTCGCCCGAGAGTTCATTTTTCAATGACTCAGATCTTATGATATTATGAAGTAATGATATTAAAGCTCCCGAAGCGGTGGGGGAACATCGGATAAACGCACCCCCAGGCGAACGATTTGTTTTAGCTGTCTAGTATTGTTGTAATAGACGCCTACAGCTATTTTGTCGTGCACAGTAGAACATCGAAACTTGAGTCTCTACGAATTTTTAAAATTTCGGTTTATTTATTGATAAAGTTTTTGTTCTACACTTACTTCATTTATAAAAGCAACACCAGACTTGTAATCTAAAGCATCTATCACTTTACCCACTATCTAAATATGAATGTAAAAAAAATGGTTACTACTTGGCTGAAGACGTTGAGTTATGATGAAACAGAAGATTTAATAACACTCTGTAACACACCCACTCCCCCACACATATACACACACCCACGCACGCACACACACACTTAGAGAGAGAGACACACACGCGCGCGCGCGCACACACTCACACACACACACACACACACACAAACACACACCAAATTTATTTTTACGACTCCGTTTGCAATGTTTTCTTTTAGCACTTAATTATTTTCTTCTATTGTATCTTATAAAACCCCTTTTTTTTTCTTTCCCCCCCCCGGGGGGGGGGGGGCCGCCTTCCTTTTCCCCCCGCCCCCCTTTACAGAGACCAGCCCCCCACACACACTCCCTAATATTGTCATCTTAGTTTAATCATAATACCCTTTTTTTATATGTGAGAAAAAAAAAAAATTTTTAAAAATTATAGAAAGATAACTTTTTTTAACACAACAAAAATAATAGTAATATGAAAATAAAAGTAACTAAAAAATATAGGTTTTATGACACGTTTTAATAATTTCAAGAATAGGTTTATTAACCTTTAATCTAGAAAGATATGATCGCTAATAAGCGTCAATTTGTGTAATCGACGTCCGTCGTTCCATAACTTAGCTTAGCTGAGTTCAGCTGCCCACTGAAGTATTTCCGAACCAATTCGACTTAGCCACCTTCAATAATTGTTAAAAGGCCGGCAACGAACTCGCGAGCCCTGGCATTGAGAGTGTCCATGGGCGGTGGTATCACTAAACATCAGATGAGCCTCCTGCCCGTCTGCCTCCTATTACATTAAAAAAACGTAAACCCTTTATCACAACATCCAAAGTCTTTGCACAACGTTCAAATCCAATATGCGAGCAAAGTTATCGGCATTCGATGAGTTAATAAAAAGAATCAATTCTTAACATGAAGTCCGCTTGCCAAATGCGACTCAATAAATAAATACGCAACTGCTCATTTACATGCCATAAAAATCATTGGAAGTATTTTAATCCGAGTTAACTCAATTGACGTCTATAAATACGGGCCTGCGCCAAGTTGTTAATCCTGTTACAATACTGGAATCGATTGGACGATATAAGCCGATCATTAAAAAGCTATCGTTGTAGATAATCGTATATTTTAAATTCTAATCTTGAAACTGATGAAAAATAGACCGACGCACTTGCGAGATTTCTGGCAGTGTGAGTGTCCATGGGCGGTATCACTTAACAGGTGAGCCTCTTTCCCGTTTGCCACATTAAAAAAAAATTAAATACTAACTGTAAATTACTTGCATCTTTAACTCTAATTAATTACTAAATTATAATAAAGAGCTGTGTGAAATCTGTTCGATTCAATCAAAACAAGTATTTCATATTCTTTCAAGTCACTTGTTTCAGGCTTAATATTACCCTTATGAAAAGCCATCTCATAAAATATAGGTACATTTATTCTTAGCGTCGATTTTCCTAAAGGATTACGCTCCGGAGAAAACCAACATTCGTACCATGGAACATCAGTCTTATTCAAAGCTCAAATCGAATGGATCTCGTTACACGCATGTGTGCGTCTAAACCTGCCTGATTTTCTGTCTAATTGTTTCCCTTCTTTTCCAAAGTTAATTAAAATATTTCCAACTTTTCGAGTTTTAAGATTGTGTAGATAAAAATTGATGAGTTGTTAAATTATTCCGCAATTTTGATTGCCTTGTAAAATCTCAAGGTTTGGGGAGTGCTCAAGTTTTTCGAGAGACAATTAGGTATGCTAATTCATTTATAGTAGAGGAAAAACGCCGAGCAAGATCTGTGGGCTTTTAATGAGATGGGAGGTAGGGAGGAAGGATTGAGTTTATGGGTAGGTGACGTCTACGGCTGGGTCGTAATTAATGGTCCGTGCGTGGCCTCTTCGATGACAACCTTCGCTCGACAACCCTACGCTCATACTGCACCCTAATACAATCTGACTATTTTGAAAGGTGTTTGAACTCACGCTATCGATTTCCCTGTTCAGCCCTCAAATTATTTGAAACTTGGTTTTAAATCATTACCAAGATTCGGTTCACTTAAGAAATATAAAATTATGTAACCCCTCTTTGGTTTGAATTTGATTGGAGCACATTATGTTTATATACACCAGTCGAAAAGACTAACGATATTTTTATTGGAAAATTAGTATACAAATATTGCAATGTTTGCGTCATAATTAACCAAGAAAGAATGCAGGAAAATTCTGTTATTCACTTTCATTGCTAAACGGAAATAGATCCCGTTGTTGGAAAAGGAAAATCGAAGGTTCTAGTAAACATAATTAGTTCGGGGTATCGGAATTGATTGAGGACGAGATGTTTAAGCCGAAAACGATTTTGGTCATGCGAAATTAAATCATATCATTTTCTACATTTGATCTATTCCAAATAATGTTTCTAGACGCGATTAAACTACGTATATAATAACTATAATTAGTATTTACATAATTAAGATTGAAATTTATAAACCCATGTCAAATTAAGTTGATACATTAATTCTTCTATAATTTAAAGTAATATGTCATTATAAGTATAATGTAAAAAAAGTAATGTTCATACAACTTTAAAATATTTTATATATATATATATTTTTTTTACATTAAACACATCTTTATAATATAGTTATGGAATAAAAAAATGATATTATAATATTACCAGTATTATTAATACCGGTATACCCCACCTAAACTATATTCCAAAAATATCCATTTATACGAAAAGTAGGAAATAAAAACAGATACGTGCCTGTGACAATTCAAACTGTCAAATAATTCAAGGTGTGGCACGGCGTATCTCACAATCAGCAAAATGTATAGCCAGTTCTATCGAGACCGTCTGTTTTTTCCATTCGGCTTTCTTTATTTCTCCTACCTCCTTATAAATATAAGGGAATCTATACGAATTCCCCAGATGAAAAGGTATTTTTCGGAGAGTTTGCGGCGCAAAACTAATGTATATTTGTTGCGAGATATCATCGCATGAGTTATCGATACATGTTTTGATACATGTAACAAGTGTAGTGAGCAAAAAATAAGGTCGCAAATTTATATGAAACTGTGATCTTATAAAATGTATGAATTTCTCATTTGTAGAAATAGCTATAATAATAGTAGCTTAATTACAATATACTATTATAAAACGTTTTGTAGGCTTTGAAGAAAAATATATATAGCTAGTTCTAGTGTAGTCTAGTATGCGATGCAAGTGAACTTATATCAATTTGAATATTTTTAGTTTTTTATACGGTAATTAGGATTAATGGAGCATCTTGTTTATTGCAAAAATTTGGCTTTATTGAAATAATTTTAATGCTATTAAAAACATTTTCTATTAGTGTATATTTTAATCCGCAGTTTAAGCAATATCAACACATTGATGGTTTTTTCTAATTCAATATCATGTTATTACTCCGTACTATGTAATACTATCACTCGGCTCGAGTGAACCGTAATATCTTCCATAATAACTCGGTAACGTGCTGTTTTATGCTAGAAAGAAAACAAGGGCATCCAAGATAATAAAGCTAAAGATAAAGAATTATATCTTAATTTTTCAATAGAACAGGCAGGATTGAGGCATACCGGATATTATATTATTATTCCGCCGCCCATGGATACTCTCACTGCAAGAAAACTTCATCATAACCATTTAAGA